TTATATATATGAAAAATATATAAAAAATGCAAGTGGGTACTCAAGTGAAAGCTCTTGATGAGTGTAACATCAGGATGAGTTTATATCTTTAAAAATGTCAATAATTAAGAAATAACCTTGTATCTTTTGAATTATTGACATTTTTAAAGTTATAAGCTCATCCCGATGGTACACTCATCAAGAGCTTTCATTTGAGTACCCACATGCATTTTCATATATTTTTCATATATACATATATATAATATATATAAATATATGAAAAATTGATGTGGGTACTCAAATGAAAGGTCTCAATGAGTATAACGTCAGGATGAGCTTATATCTTTAAAAATGTCAATAGTTCACAAGATACAAGGTAATTTCTTAATTATGTATCTAGAAATAAAGTATTTTCGATTATAGTCTAAATACTTATCATCATAAATAAAAAATCGGTGAAAATGATATAAAACCTTGAAAAGGCACAAATTTAAGTCAGGACCTTTTTTCTCTTAATAGTAAAGATTAATTAAAAAAAAAAAAATTACATACTTGGCGCAAATAACAAGCCCATCTTCCTGAAGTATCTCCAAGAACATCTGATTTTCATACTCCAACATTGTAAATAAATAAAATTAACAGTTAAAATAATACTTGAATAAATTCGTCAAGTATTGTCCAGAGAAAAGCTAATACAAAAGATTTTTTTGTAATCTGTGATCATATAAAAATTTTAGTTAACTTTTTTTTTTACACATAAAATAATATATATTTTTTACAGCAACATGACTATAAAAAAATAAGTAAAAAAATTTTTTCTTCTTTTTTTCCGTACTTTTTTTGGTACACTAGTCTCAAGACTGTTGATAGTACTTTGCTCGTCTGTTACTTCATCAGCACCAAGTGCTACATGGTACACAAATAAATTGTATTGACTTGCTTCGTGAGAAGGATGACCATACACTCCTATGCTAACTGGTCTTTTGAAACTAATTATAATTCGAGTTATTTATTTTAAAATCAGTCTATAAATTCATAATAATAATAATTAGTAATTACCTCTGTGGTATAAAAATTATATCCTCACCACAAGTTGTTGATTGAAGACAATATTGATCTGGCTCGTAAGTCGGTTTGTTTATAAATTGTGAAATAAATAAATCCGCGTCACCTTTTCTAAAAAAAAAATACAGATATTTTTAAATATTTTAAATTGATAATTAATTAAATTAATAATAAATTACTTACTGTGTTACTAATAATATTTTAACAATACCATCATACATTAAACTGTAATATTTGTAAGATCCACTGGCTACCTCGTCGCTAACATAATGCAATAATTGTTCATGAGCTGCTAAATTATTTTTAATACAAATCTGTAATTAATTTAATAAATTACATTAAAGTTAGCTGTCACGTGATTAATTTTTAATTTTATTTAACAATTAAATTAATTCTACAAAATTATTTTTAAAAAATTGTATTTTTAATTTTTTAAAATTTCTACATGTCAATTTTTTTTGCTATAATTTATTCGTTAACAAAAGTTCTAAAAATGATTAAATATCTGCTAAATTAATTTTCATATTTAATTAATTACATTAAAGTTAGCAGTTACTTGATCATTTTTTAATTTTCTTTAATAAACAAATTTATTCCGAAAAATTACTTTTAAATATAAATTTATTTACTCCAAAAATTCTTAAAATATCTGCTAAATTAATTTTTATATTGACACAAAATATGATAGTTATTTAAGTAATGTATAACCTCGATGTATTATAATAATAATAATAATTAATTAACTTACTAGTAATATAATATTTATTAACAATTGCTTCATTCCAAAATAAAAATTTGTGTTTGTAATTTTTATTTTTAGAGTTAATATTTTGATTTGTTTATAATTATTTTGAAGATTAATTTTTGTTAAAATAATTTAAATAATTAGTTATTGATACTTTTAATTATAATAATTAATCATTACATAATTTATTTAGTTTACTTGGCTAATGTTATTGACGGATATGTTAGTTATAATGTTTTGATTATTTTTTAACAGCTCAATTTTGTGTATAAAAAAATAAATTCGACTTTACAATTAATCGATTAGAACGATACTGAAGTCAGCTAACAAGTGTCATTCTTTTAAATTTTTATAACAAATCAATTACAATAATAAAAATGCTTTTAAAAATTTTTACTAATAATTTTTTTTTAATTTTCACAAGTGGAATTTTTTATTAAATTTTTTTCATAATAAATTAATTGCTATAAAATTATAAAAACACTTTTAATGTTTGCTAACTTCAGTTTTATCGATTGGTAGTACATAATCGAAATTCGATATAAAGAGCGCGAAATTTTAAATTGCAATTTTTTAAGCAGTTACACGGAAAGAACAAGATGACACTGGATACCATCTCAGATTATACTCAGTGACATTTGAGGTGAAAAAAATTTCAGATGGTAGCTAGTATAATCCAGATTATACTGAATAATATTTGGATTATACTCATTGTAACCTGGATTATACTCATTGTTATCTGGATTATACTAGCTACTATCTGAAATTTTTTTTCACTTCGTATAATCTGGGATTATATCCAGTATAATCTTGTTCTTTCCGTGTATGAATAATTAAAAATTTTATTAATTAAAATTTTTTTTATAATAATTGAGTTGTAAAAAACCATAAAATTCACAAATATTTGTTAGATTTTGTATCAAAATTAATTTTTAATTTTTTTTAATTCATTAAATTATATTATAAACATGTTTTTTTTATAATCTAGATAATTATAAATTTAGATATGTATAAAATATCAAGTATAATAATGAAAAAAAAAAAAATATTTTAAAACATCAAATTTAATTAATATTTACAAAACATTATGGCTAAAATCTATTAGTGTTTATATTTTGTTTTTTCAAATTTCTCATTATTAAATTTTTTCTATTTCTGTTACCGTTTATTATATAAATAAATATTTTTTTTAAATTATTAATTGATTAATTTTGCTATTTTTAGGGTATAAATTAACATACAATAATTAATTAATTAATTAATTAATTAACTGGATTTCAAGTCGGGAATAGTCGGCTTTTTAGGACCTCAAAAGTGAAGATCTGAAAAAAAACTCTTGTCCTAAAAATCGGACCGAAATTTTACTTTTGAAAATTATTTAACAGTTAAAGCAGTCAAAGCAGTTAAAAAAAATGATGTATCAGTCAATAAAAATTATTGATACCGGTTGTATTAATTAATATAGATAAGCGTATTGTATGTTAGGTACATAAATGCTACGTCCTCAATCCCTGATTGATAAGATAGTAATTATTGCAGCCTCTTAATACTTTTATAATAAAACTGTTTATTTTTCGATCTTTCTTAACAGAAACACAGTTATGGAAAAGACAAATTTAGATATGAATATATTTAATAATATAGATGTATATGATGACAATTTGAGTGACTTTGATATTATTAGAAGTATAATTGAAAAAAATGATCAAGAAGACGCTTTTTACATCCTTAATATTGAAGAAATTATTAAACAGCATAAAAAATGGTTTGCAATGATACCCCGAGTTTTTCCGCACTATGGTAATTAATTAATTTTCAACATAATTATTTCCATTAATAAAATAAAATTATTGTATTTTAGCAATAAAGTGCAACCCAGATGATACTGTCATACGTGTGCTAGCTGCTCTCAATGGAAAATTTGATTGCGCTACCAAGGTAATAATTATAATTACAATAATTTTTTATTTCTTCAGAAAAAATTAATTATTTTATCGACTAAATAATAGCAAGAAATAAAACAAGTTCTGGAAGCTGGTGTAAAAAATGACCGTATAATATTTGCAAACCCTACTAAATTACCATCTCATATTAAGTACGCGGAAAAAGTTGGTGTCAGTACAATGACAATAGACAACGCGGCAGAAGTATTAAAAATAAAAGAACTTTATCCTGATGCTAAGTAATTTTTTTTCTTCTTTAAATTCCGCTGTTACTTATCAAGACTAAATAATTTTATTTATTTTTATAAATGTATCAGACTTGTAATAAGACTTGCAATAGACGGCGAATCATCGGGGATGAAATTCAGTGAGAAATTTGGCTGCAAACCTACAACAGATGTTATTAAATTGATGAATTTTATAAAAAAGCATAATATGTATTTACGTGGGTTCAGTTTTCATCTGGGGAGTCCTTGTTATGATACAGATGCTTATTACCATGCTATTAAACTTTGCAATAAATTTATTGAGACTGCCCGTGGCATGGGGTTTGATGAAGCTAATCTTATTGATATTGGCGGAGGGATGACTGGTGAAGATCATGATTTATTTGAAAAGGTATTTTTTACTTTGTTCATTTTTTCTAAAATTAATTAATTAATTTTCTAACATCAAAAAAATTTTCATTTTTTCTGACACTGTAATGGTATAAAATTCTCCTTTTTTAGTAAATTTCTTCAGAAATCTAACTATTGAATTTATCTTTAAGAAGGAAGATACTAAAAATGTTTACATACTAATGTTCTCAGGGTAATATAAATTCAAAAAATACCATTCAAAATTTGACACCCTAAAAAAACTTGTTAATTTTACGCAAATGCTGATAAAATTAATTTTAAGTTGCATTTTTTAAGGAGGGTTTAAATCACTAATATAATTACTGTAATTAAATTTAATTATTATATAATTAATTATCTACCGAAAAGCGAAGCGTTTTTTTTTTTAAATTATATCTTATATACATGAACAAAACATGTTTGAAAATTAATTATCAACCACGCTTAAAATAATTTTTATTTTTTTAATCACAGTTTAAAATTAACTGTACAAAAATTAACATTAAAAAATTTATTTCCATTTTGGGTGAGGTATTTTTTTTATAATGTATATTAATAGGTAGCAAAATCAGTAAACGCTGCGCTGATTGACGTAGATCCTTCAATAGAAATTATCAGCGAACCTGGAAGATATTACGTTGAAACAGCATTCACATTAGCAACTTACATACACAGTAAAAAAATAAAAGAAGACAACGGTAAATTAACTCGTCATTATTACATTAATGATGGAATTTTTGGATCCTTTATCGATAAACTTTATGGAGTTGAAAAGACACCGTTACCTTTATTAAAAGTATGATTTAATAAATTTATTCTTTTCTCCGATAAAAAATAATTGCAAAAACACAAATTTAAATCCTTGAAGATCTTGATTTAATTTAAATAACTTGCAGACAAATGAAAAAAAATATAAATCTGTTGTTTGGGGACAAACATGTGATTCAAGTGACTGCGTGACATCAAAAGCTATGATCGAAGACCTGGCAATCGGTCAGTGGATGATATGGAAAGATGTTGGGTCATACACTGTTTGTTTGGCGTCCAACTTCAATGGATTTTTACCGTCTGGTGTTTTGCCGATTATCAGAAAAAGTGCAATGTAATTATAATTAATTAACAGTTCAAGAATCTAAGATAAGATTTCATTCTATCAATTGCAATTATTGATTTAAAAATGTATTTTTTTTTTTTTAGGAAAAGTTTTTTAGAAGACGTAAAAACTTTGCAAGGGAAAAATACTAAACCTTAAAATATTAATTAATTAATTAATTTAGTAATAAATAATTTAATAAATATTTTATCTAGAATATTTTGATTTTGGTCATCGGAAAATTTCAGAAGACACAAAAGATTTTCCGTATGGAGATTTATCATTGGTATCAAAGAAGTAGGAGCCGCGTCTGAAAAAATATTTTAATTAGAGTTATTGACTTAAATTAATAATTTAAAAATACTTACGCATCGGTTGAAATAGAATTTCCGTAATAAACAACGTCGTTGTTTTTGCAATTGCCTTCTGAGTAATCACGGTAAGACGGACATTTAACAGCGGGGAATGCATAAGGATCTTTTATACTTTCTGCGTAAATTCTCCAGGATCTCCAGTGATTACATAAATCTATTATTATTATTATTATTATTATTATTATTATTGCACGCT